GTTGCAAATACATATATAATCAGTTAATATTTATTCTGTTATTTTGAGTTATTATATTAAAATTTAATTTACTACTTACATATATATATATATACACATATATACATACATATAACTTTATGGAATATATAATTTTAGTATTAATTTTAAATAAAATTTAATAATATATATTTTATGTTATTATAACACCTTATTCTTATATTTTTTAAAAATATATCAATATATATTATATTTAATTATATGTAAAAATATTTTTTAACGATAAATATTATGTAATTATATGACGTGTGTCATTGCACATTTTTTTTTATTTTGTAGTGTTTGTTTCCTTTTATTAACATAAATTGTCACAATTTTTCAATGTTTTTCACCAAAAAGAAGTAAAATAATATTTGATATTTATTAATAAACACTTAATAGTAATTATAAATTAAATCATTATAATTATTATGCTGAAAAAAATTTATGACTTTTTTGAAATAATATCATTAGCTCTCAACCACTTTAATAAATAATTAGATAAAATATTAAAATTAAAAAAATTAATTAAATAGAAAAGTAAATATTCTGTATGCTTTAAAAGATTAAATTTTTGTTCAGTTTATTATTTTATGAAAATACAGATAATATATTAAATTATTATTTATTATAGATTTAAAGCACTTTAAATGAATTAAATTTTTTTAATATATTTCAATATATATATATATATATATACATATAATACTTTTAGTTTTCAAACTTATTCAACCTATATAAAATATCCATTATTTCATATAAAATTACACACACAATCTTTATTTATGTATGACATGTGATAAAAAAAGTTATGAACAGACATTCACTATTTTTATTTCAAATGATTGTATGACATATGATATATTTTTTTTTATAATAGGAGAATTTGGATTTTGGAAGGAAAAGATAAAATAAAATTGGGAAAGAAGAGAAATAAAATAAAATAAAAAAATAACAAAAACTTTTGAATGGAGAAAAAAAATGGAAGGATCGAGTAATTATGAAAAAAAAATATAACTATTTTTTAGTGAAATAATGAAAAATAAAAATAAAAATTATTTATGTTAATGACAAAATTCAAATTTAAATATTTTTCTGTAAGTTTTTGTATAAGTTAAGTAATAAATTATATTGAACAACTTATCAAAATATGTTCAAAACATTTTACAAGCCACTTAATTATAAGATGGTTTATAAGTTTTCAAATAATCTCATAAATATATTTATAATAAGATAAGTACAAATAAATAGTTGATAATTTTTGTTTAAGGAAAGAGTAGTAAACCATGTTGATTATTGTTCTTATCATAATAAACTTGTATGAAGAAGTTAATCTATAAGATCTCATTTCCTCCTTGTGAATTGATATTGGTCCATGTAGTTGATTTTCGTTTTTAAGTTGTAAAGGTACTTATAAAAAGGATTATGACGATTAAGTTAGTTTAATCGATTTATTCGGTGTATCCTAAGTATATTATACATACCATTCTTCTTGTTAATTATAATTTCCCGTTTACATGGATTATATTACAATTGTGATTGTCATGTAAATAAACCATCTTTTTTGTATAAATACAAATATTGAGTTGATATAGTGACTTGATTGTCAATCTTAGACCTGCTAGTAATGTTTTATATTTTGTCTAGTTGTTGGTGGCTTTAAACTCAAACTTGATAGATTGTTTAAGCATTATGTTATTTGGTCCTTCTAAAATGACTCCAACACCACTACCTTTAGTGTTAGATGAACTATCAACATATAAGAGCTACCATTGTTCTACTAATTGTAGTACTAGAGTGAGTTCAACTACAAAATTGGCTAAGCATTAGGCCTTCAAGGAACCTCGACTTTCATATTGGATTCCATACTTAGACAACTCGATAGACCACCACTACAACAAAATTGTCATATAGTGACACGCACCCTATAGTGACACTATACATGTCACTAAAAATTATTTTTACCCACACAATAACTATAATATATGTTGGTATATTATTAAAAAGTGTGGGTATAGACTATAGTGACATACAAAATAGGTTGTTAAATCTCATTCAAAATCAACACTAAAATTGTATGTAACTATATGTCAAATAGACATATACCTACATATATTGCACCTATAATGACACTTTTTGTATGTCACTATATGTAACATTTCTTGTAGAGACAATATCATGTGTCCTGCCAACTCTGGTTTTCTGAGAATTTGCTTTGTTGGATACTCTATCTTGACAACAATTTGAAGTTATTAATGTCCATACCAACTTTTCAATGACATGATATTGTCTCTCCGTATCTTTCAAAACTCGACTTATGAAATAAATAGGAGTTTGTTTCTTACCTTGTTCTTGCACCAAAGCAACACTAATAACATTCTTTGCAACTATCAAATACACCAAAAGATCAACTTAATTAGTGATTCGGGTTGCTCAAAATTGGTGGAGTTGATAGAAAATTTTTAGACAATATCATGTGTCCTGCCAACTCTGGTTTTCTGAGAATTTGCTTTGTTGGATACTCTATCTTGACAACAATTTGAAGTTATTAATGTCCATACCAACTTTTCAATGACATGATATTGTCTCTCCGTATCTTTCAAAACTCGACTTATGAAATAAATAGGAGTTTGTTTCTTACCTTGTTCTTGCACCAAAGCAACACTAATAACATTCTTTGCAACTATCAAATACACCAAAAGATCAACTTAATTAGTGATTCGGGTTGCTCAAAATTGGTGGAGTTGATAGAAAATTTTTGAATTCCACAAAGGCTTTTTCACATTGACCAGTCCAACAAAAATCTTTAGGTTTGCGGAGTAGATTAAAGATTGGTTTCACTTTCTTTACCATCTTTGGGATGAACCTTGAGAGTGATGTTAATCTTCTTGCAAGTCATTGTACCTCCTCTAAAGATTGTTGACTTCTCATCTTCATCAAGGCTTCACATTTGTCAAGGTTTGCTTCAATACTTTTGTTAGTGATCATAAATAATCCAAGAAAATTTTCTCCTTGTACACTGAAAATGCATTTCTTTGAATTCAATCTCATGTTATGCTTTTGATTTTGTCTAAATATTCCGATCAAATCTTCCACATGAGATTCAGCAACCATGTCATCCACATACACTTCAACATTTCCTTCCGATTTATTGACTAAAAACATTATATCCATCGATCTTTGATAAGTAGCCCCAACATTCTTAAGACTAAAAGCCATAACTCGGTAGTAAAAGTTGGATTGATCAGTGATAAATGTTGTACACTTCTCATTTGGTGGGCCGGTGCATCATGATTTGATTATAACTAGAATAAGTGTTGAGAAAACTTAAAATGACATAACTTGAAGCTACATCTATTAATCTATCAATGTTGGGCAATGGATATGCGTCTTTAGGAAAAGCTTTGTTGAGTTTAGTGTAATCAATACACATACGTCATTTCCCTTTAGAGTTCTTAACCATCATCACATTGGCCAACCAAGTTATATATTTAACTTTTCTGATGAATTTTGTATCAAGTAGCTTCTTGGTCTCAGTTATAACAGCTTTTTGAAGTTCTCCATTGATTTTTCTTTTCTTTTTTCTAGGCTATAGGTTTTATTTCTTTACAAATTGTTAATTTATGGCAAATAAAGTTGGGATCTATCCTTGGAATATCTACACTACACTAAGCAAAGTGATCAAAATTTTCAATAATCACAACCATGATTTTACCTTTTAATACTAGCTCAGTCATTCTAATGTTAGCAATATGAGCCATCATGGGTGGAGATTGAGTCACCAACTTAGTGTTTGAACTTGAAGGTGATACTTTCAAGCTTTATGCATAGCATTGCTAAATAGTTTTCTAGTTAGCTTTTATGGAGATCATTTTTCCATTTGTTCCTAGGAACTTTGTGGTTAGATGAGGTGTTGACACAATAACTCCAAGTTGGTTCAACGTTGGACGTCCTATAAGTATGTACTTGACCATGATTCTTCTTACATTTGGTGGCGGTCCAAAAGTTGTTAGTAATTCCACGTAGCCATGAGTATGTACTCACTCTCCTACAAAACCAATTAAAGGTTCTATATATGACTAGATAAAAGTGTATGGAATGTCTAACTTCAAGAAAGTTGGCCAATAAAGTACATTAGTCAAATTTCCTTAATCAATAAACGTTTTTTACACTTCCCAATTTTCTAACTCAATGACAATCACCATTAGATCATCTTAATTTAAACTAACACCAACGTAGTCATCATCAATGAATGTGATTAGTGAAATAGATTGGTTAAAGGTATTAAACATGATTATGAATGTTTCGCAAATGACTTTTGAGCTAAATTGGTAGTGCGCCTCTTGGTACAAATCCTCCAACAATGATGTTGATTACACCATGAAGATTAGTATTGTCATTGTTTTGTTTGTCAACTTGTTGTTGTGTTGTTGGTGACTTGTTCTTTGGGCCGATCTTATAGCAAAATAAAAGTTGTTTTTAAGAAATTAATTGTTTTTTGGGTATATAAAAAGTTGAAAATTTGAAACTTATGATAACTTTTTAATTTTTTATTTTAAGCCAATTTAATACATAAACTAATTTTCTTGTTATATTCAAAAGAAATTAAACATGTAACAATTTTTTTTTTAAGATAAATTTATCCAAACAAAATTTCATTTTAATTATAATCAACTATACAATAATTGACTATTCATATAATTAATTATTAAAATAATTTAATTTTTATAACTTTCTCAAACACACTAAAACTTAAATTATGCATATTTAGTCAGTAAAAGTTATTTAAATTAAAAAATATAAGATAAGTTATTAGTCAACGACTACAAGTGATACATTAGATTCGAACGTAAAATCTGATAGATATAGCTTCTCAGTAACCTCTTGTAAGATAATTAATTAATTACTCCATATACAATATTGTAAACTACAGTTTAACGAAGAAGAAGAAGATGACGGTCCTAATTTTACCTAATCGAATATTAATTTGAGAAACATGTTATTATTTATTTATTAATTTATTTATGCATGTTTATCTGATAGATGCGAAAAATACAAATACTTATTGCAGATTCTCCCACTACATCCTAAACAACAAATTCATGCATAACTTTGTGGCTGATTGGACGTGCTCTGCACATAGCTTCTAGTGGAATTATCTTCGGCATTGCCACCCCTTTATTCTCATTCATATCAATTTCTTCATCACTTGTTCGTTTCCATTCAAAACATTGAATCAACAATCCCAAAGTCAATCCCATTGAACGATGTGCCAAACCTAATCCTGGACAAGCCCGTCTTCCCAATCCGAATGACATTAATTTGTTTACTTCTCCTTCCTTCTCAAACCTCTCTGGCTTAAAGGATTCAGCATCATTCCAAAGTTGAGGATCTCTTTGAATGGCCCATGCATTGATCAACACTATGGTGTCACGTGGAATAGTGTATCCTTCAATAGTGCACTCATCTGAGGAATAATGAGGCAATAGTAATGGAGCTGGAGTGTATAATCGAAGTGTCTCGTAGACAATATTTTGAATATAAGGAAGATTTGGAATGTCTGACTCATCTACCAAGCGATCTTGTCCAACGTAAGTGTCTATTTCATCCTTTGCTTTCTTCAATATTTCTGGCTGATTTAATAAAGCAGCTAGTGCCCACTCTATACTCACGGCTGTTGTGTCTGTTCCCGCCAGGAGCATGCCCTACAATTAAATTGGATGCAAGCAATCAATTATTATTATTTTTTAACTCTTAATAGTATTATAATCTCCATTTGATATGGCTATACTGTATTAATGGATACACTGATTAACGAAGCTCTATCAACTCCGAACAATGATTAAAGATTAATCTTATTCTTTACTATTTAATTTATTATTGAAAAAATTTATAACTCCACTAACACAACAAATAAATAAATTACTTAGCAAAGTTATAATATGATCAAACAAAAGTTGGAAAACAAAAAAGTATTATTGTCTCTCCTTACCATTCTTCGTATATATGATTAAATTAACTGCAATTTTATTTCAATTTTAACATTCAAATTTGAAAAATTACTAATTAATTAGTCAAATGAGTACGGTAGTGGCTTGATCTCTAAGACATAATTATGTAATGAGGTATACTTTATAGGAATAAAATATTAACTTCTAATTGTACCCATCCAATAATTAATAACTTTATTTCATGTTCTACCTTTTTACGGGAGAATATTAGCCGTCTATAACATTATGATGAGAACTTTACTTTATAAGAAAAATATATATTGACTTTGAACTAAGAGTTTAAATAATTTGCGTTATTAATTCTTTTTAGTAAATTTCTTGTTATTATAAATGATTTTAAAACATTTACTAATGTTCACTTTAATGATAGAATGATCAATTCGAGTTTAAATTTTTTTAGTGAATTAAATTTAATCTTTCACACAGAATATTTCTATTTAGTTTAAAAAAAGGCTTATATTTAAAACGAAAGAGTATATTTTAAACAATAAAAATATAATTTAAAACTAAATTAAATTTTGACTGCATTTGTTAACCTGAGAATCTAAGTACGTTGGTTTCGGAATTTTCTTACGTGTAATATTTCCATTCAGTAATATTCTAGTCTTTAGTTAAAAATAAAAGAGATTTTTTTATTATATATATTATTAATATGAAATATCTATTAGTTTTACTGATGTCCTACTGTAACTCATTTACAATTTTTGTTTCACAATTATAGGGTATGTTTGTTTGTTTCATTATTAAAGGAGAAACACGTTTAACTTTTTATTTTATTAAATAATTAAAAACATTATCTCTTTTTTTTTTTTCCTAAACGAAACATATACACCCTAAACTTTTAACAATATTTCTTTTTTTATTTTGTTATCTGTTTTTCAATTTGTTTTTTATAATTGTTTCCTAAACTTGTATTTTAAGCTCCCTTCAAAAAATGGTTTATCTCTTAAAACCAGCACAATTCACTGCTTTAATTATGTTTAAAACTTGCTTATGAGTTCTTATTATACAAAATTTATATTTGTAATCAGATGATAGCGGCCTTGAAATTTAAGAATAAGTTTATCAAATTATGCTAATATTTATTGTGAAATTTTTGAGGTCTTTTAAAGTAAAGTGTAAGTTTTTATAATTTAAAAAACATGGAAATGTATATGTTATATTTAAAATCCATACTAATATATAAAAGAGATACTTCTTTTATTAATCACCTTGATCACTACATTTTGTTGACCATTATACTCTTTCATTTAAAAAATTAAAAAAATAATATTTTTCTCAAAATTAAGACCTTAAAATTAATTGACTAATTATAATATTAAATTAATTTATATTTATTACTTAATTTTTATTTTATTTTATTTGTAATAAAGGTACGAAGTACCTCGACCATATTAGTAATTCTTACATGACATTAGTATTCTCTAAACAGTACATTCCCTTTTTCCATGAATTGTGCTTTAGCAATTTGAAATCTTATTTTTAAGGAGGATTGATTAGCAAATTTAAATTTTACAAGTAAAAGAAAGGTTACAAATAATTCAGGTATATTTAATTTTGGCTTTCAAGTTAACTTATTACTATATCAATAAATTTGATAAAAAATTTATTAAAATAAGTGATCTGACACCTATATTTTTTAATTAAAAATTGATTATTAATTCTTATATGATAATAAAATCAATATCAATAAATTTAAACTTATATTAAATCAATGATTCATAAATAAAATGTAGATATTAAAATTTTTCTATTAATTGATCCAAATGGACCATTTAGAAAATTATCCCAAAAACAGAAAGAACCAAGCACTTCCTATGATTTAATAGGTCAACTATTTTTTTTTACATGATAATAGAACAATTACTAATAGATCATTATTCTTTTTCAAAAGATACTCATCATCAAAGGGTATTAGACAAAATCCGTGAATAAGTTAATCAATTAAAATAAAAAAGATTGATAAAATTAATTTGTAAATGTCAAATGATATAATAAAAAAAAATGGATATAATTTTAAAAATTTAAAGCTCATAAAATACATAAAATAACATATTCTAAAAGCTCCTTTATCAAATAAGTCTAATTTTTCAAGGAATTGGTAGAGCAAGCAGGGTAAGTGTTATAAGCTCTCGTGATATTCGTGTTTCAATCTCGTAAATAAAAAATAATAATAAATCTAATTTGGCCAAACAATCCCTTAAATTGGTGAAATTTAAAAACTATCTTAAAATTCTTGCCAAACCCACATACAAGAAAAACATGTTCATTTTAGAAACAATGTATACAAAATTATTCAATATTCAGCACAAAACAAGAATCGAATCCAATATTCGATAGAAAAAGAAAACAATTCAATATTCAAGGTAAATATACTTTCATAAAACATCACTACTATAAGTTTGCAATTCTTCATAACATGCACTCCAACAGGAAACAGACATTGAACATCCCAATAAGGCAATACCTTCATCAGTATCAACGTCCTGAAAAACATAAAGGAAAAGACCTCAATAAAATATGATATTCAACCCATAATTTTTTTTAATTATTAAAATATAGTTAAATGGAATTAACAAATACAACAAGACAAAAAATAAATAAATTAATCCATCCATGAGACTGAAGTGGTAAGCTTGTTATTTGATTTTTCAATCAATCAATGGCTACACCAATGACCAAACAGTGTAATATAGTTCCTGTAAGGCTAGAAAACCTTTTTCAGCACCTTCTGGCTTGCTTCGTTATTGTCCAAAGGATTTAATAAGGAAATATTCCAAAAAGTATGAAAATAATAGAACCAAAGCAAAACATGATTCTAGGAATAACAATAAGTAATCTAGATTCAAAACTCTATTGAACTGTGAACTGAAATTTGTTAGTTTCTTTTGGAAATAGAGGATGGTGGGAAGAAGAGGAGATGTAAAATTCTACTTCAATTTTTTTGGTACAGAAATTCTACTGTATTTAAGACTCCATAGGCATATAGGAAGTTATACATGTGAAAGGCCTATTAACAAACAGAATGCAGTTCAAAAGTATACATGTAGAATTATGCATAGAAGCAAACCAGCCTTGAAACAACTGTTTGTTGTTACTTACTAGTAAAGGTTTTTAAGCTCAAAGTGTGTGATTATGATTTTTTTGGCTCAAGTCAACATTCAAACAGTATCATGGATCACTACCTTTCTCTAAATATAAATTGTCTAGAAAGAAAACCATGGCTAACTATCTTAGTAAGGTTATCTCCATCCATCTTTCTTCCATTCATTGGATAGTAGGGTGTTAGTTATAAGTTTCGACTTTTGAGACAAACAAAAAGGAACTTGTTCATCTAAATTTTCATGTGAATCCAGCAGCCTACATCGATCATGCTAATGTTAAGCTCGTTCCCATTTGATAATTTGCGTAAATTTCTCCATAAGTAGGAAAAAAAAATTCTTCATAAATTACAATTAGTTTATCCATAAATTTGTTTTGGAGATGCTAATATTTTTTTTATATAAACTATAAGTATTCTCTATTAAAGACAATCTTATTCGAGTTGTGTGAGAGTTTATTTTGATACAAGTTTAGAAGTTCTTTTGAAAATTTCTTTACCAAAAAATACTATTTATTTTCAAAAGAGATATTCTCAAAAACGCTTCTAATTTGTATTTAAGCAGACTTTAAAATTATTATGAATAATAAAATTTTTCCTTCAAGTATTTAACATATCTAGATATACAAGACTCAAATTTGAAACTTTAGCATGAAAAAAATGAGATCGATAAAGCTAGTAGCGTAAAAAGCGAAGGGTATTGAGAACGAAATACGTGGGAGTTGTTACGGTACCCTAAAAAATCGAGGGGTTTCAATACATTTTTATACATAAACTCATAAAAGATTAAAAAAAATTAATTTAATTATAAAATGAA